CAAATTCGAGCAAGTACTAGTGATGACAAAGTACAAGATCAACAACAAGTGGCTAGGTCATCATCTCAACCAAGTGATAAATCAAATGCAAGCAATCAAGTGCAAGTGTTTCAACCAACCAATGTTGCAAGAGATCATCCATTGGACACTATAATTGGTGATATTTCAAGATGTGTGAAAACTAGATCAAGATTGACCTCATTTTGTGAGCATTTTTCTTTTGTGTCATCCATTGAACCTAAGAAGATAGATGAAGCTTTGAAGGATGTTGATTGGGTCAATGCTATGCATGAAGAACTAAACAACTTCACAAGAAACCAAGTATGGAAATTAGTTGAGAGTCCTAAAGATCATAATATGATAGGAACCAAGTGGGTCTTTCGGAACAAGCAAGATCAAGATAGGATAGTTATAAGGAACAAAGCAAGATTAGTGGCTCAAGGTTACACTCAAGTTGAAGGTCTTGACTTTGGAGAAACATATGCCCCAGTTGTAAGATTGGAAGCAATTAGGATCTTGTTAGCCTATGCTTGTGCCCACAACATCAAGTTGTACCAAATAGATGTGAAGAGTGCATTTCTTAATGGGTACATCAATGAGCTTGTGTATGTTGAGCAACCTCCCGGTTTTGAAGATGAAAAGAAACCCAACCATGTTTACAAGTTGAGAAAGGCTTTGTATGGATTAAAACAAGCACCTAGAGCATGGTATGAGAGATTAAGGGATTTTCTACTCTCTAAGGGATTCAAGATGGGAAAGGTTGACACCACTCTCTTCACCAAGAAGCTTGGAAATGACTTATTTGTAATGCAAATCTATGTTGATGACATCATTTTTGGGTCAACAAATCAATATTTTTGTGAGGAGTTTGGGAAGATGATGGCCAGTGAGTTTGAAATGTCCATGATTGGAGAGCTTAGCTACTTCCTTGGTCTTCAAATCAAGCAAATGAAAAATGGCACATTTGTGAGTCAAGACAAGTATATCAAGGACATGCTCAAGAAGTTTGGAATGGATAATAGTAAAGCTATTAGTACACCAACGGGGACAAGTGGAAGCTTGGATAGTGATGCTAGTGGCAACATGGTGGATCAAAAGATGTATCAATCTATGATTGGAAGCCTACTCTATGTGACCGCATCAAGGCCAGATGTGATGTTTAGTGTATGCATGTGTGCTAGATTTCAAGCCTCACCAAGAGAAAGTCATTCGAAAGCAACAAAGAGAATATTGAGATACTTGAAGCATACACAAAATGTTGGATTGTGGTATCCCAAAGGAGCAAGATTTGAGTTGATTGGATATTCGGACTCCAATTATGCGGGATACAAAGTTGAGAGAAAGAGCACATCGGGCACATGTCAACTATTGGGAAGATCACTTGTTTCTTGGTCATCAAAGAAGCAAAATAGTGTAGCACTTTCAACCGCTGAAGCGGAGTACATTTCGGCCGGTAGTTGTTGTGCACAATTACTTTGGATGAAGGCTACTTTGAGTGATTTTGGAATCAAATTCAAGCAAGTGCCATTGCTATGTGATAATGAGAGTGTCGTAAAGCTCACCAACAACCCGGTTCAACATTCAAGAATAAAGCACATTGATGTCCGCCATCATTTCATAAGAGATCATCAACAAAAAGACGATATTTGCATTGAGAGTGTGGGCACCGAAGATCAACTTGCCGATATCTTCACCAAGCCACTTGATGAGAAGAGGTTTTGCAAGCTAAGGAATGAATTGAACATATTTGACTTCTCCAATATGTGTTGATGCACCCCCACTTATATGACATGCCTCTCCTTCGAGCAATCCAAGGTAAAAATTGATTGGCATGGCAAACATCCTTGCTAAGGACATGTTTAGTGCATCTAGACATACTTCACATTTGAATAGGCTCATTCATGAAAATCAAATGAATTTGATGCTTGTATGGTACCACTATTGCTTGTATGCTTGAAATGATCTAGTGGTAGCATATGATATGTTTGTGGGCTTGTAAACCTAGTGTTTGATCTAGAAAATAAGTTATAAGTGTTTAACTCAACATGGTACAAGATAACTCTTATTTGGAGGTGTGAAGAAGCTTGTCCTTGGATCAAACTGAGTTAAATATTCTTTGCAAAGTGATCTAGATTGAACCAAATTGGAAAAATGATCCTCATTTCACATGGTTTCACCCCAACCTATCTATAATTTGAGCTCACCTTTTGTGCTAATTGTTGACAAAGGGGGAGATAAATTCACAAAGATAGTAGGATAGGAGGAGCAAACAAATGAAATGACATTGCAAGGGGATCAATCAAAAATGCACACAAGTAGGGGGAGCAAGCTCATAAACTTGTATGTTGTATTTAAATGTGCATTTCATATATTTGCTTGCATGGCACAAGTTCTAAATTTCAATATCCATGCTTGTGTGGTGTATGCTAGTTATATGCTTGAATGGTGAAATAAAAAACTAGCATACATAGGCTAAAGTAACTAGACTTATGTTCATTTTATGGAAATTAGACCCTTGCTTGTAATGTTGATCTCATGGGGTATTCTAGTTTTTGTGTATGTATAGTTACTAATGGTGCTAAGGATGGTATATTGGTGCACTCCGATTGGTATCACGCTTCAAAGGTCCATCTCTTATACCTTAGCATCATACGGTAGAAATTGTCTCCTATATTTCCTATCTAAGCATATGTGCAAGCTACAATCCAAACTCTTAGCACATATGTAGGGGGAGCAATTGCTACCATTTGGAGTTCATGAAACTTGTCTATATTCTTTTACACATAGTAAATATACTTGGACAAGTAATATGGATTCAATTAAATTTCAATTCATATCTTTGTGAAAGGGTTGTCATCAATTACCAAAAAGGGGGAGATTGAAAGCTCTAGTTTGGCTTTGGTGAATTGATGAAACCCTAAGTGCTAACCTAGTTTATCAAGTGATCATAAGATAGGTAGCACATTCCAAGTGGTGAAGCAAATGAAGATCATGATATGATGATGGTGATGCTATGGTGATGATCAAGTGATTGGACTTGAAAAGAAGAAAGAGAAAAACAAAAGGCTCAAGGCAAATGTATAAATGGTAGGAGCCATTTTGTTTTTGGTGATCAAGACATTTAGTGAGTGTGATCACATTTAGGATCGATAGTCGTACTATTAAGAGGAGTGAAACTCATATTGAAATGCGGTTATCAAAGTGCCACTAGATGCTCTAACTCATTGTATATGCATTTAGGATCTAGTGGAGTGCTAACACCCTTGAAAATATTTGTGAAAATATGCTAACACATGTGCATAAGGTGATACACTTGGTGGTTGGCACATTTGAGCAAGGGTAAAGAAGATAGATGTGAAAAGGAGTTAGTCTCGCTGGTCATATAGTGACCGGACGCTGGGTCACTCAACGATCGGACGCTGGATGGCTACGTCCGGTCTTTCTGTCGAGCAGCGCACAGAATCGTTGCCGAGTGACCGGACGCTGGCTGTGTCCGGTCAAGGGTGACCGGACGCGTCCGGTCAAGAAAAGTTGTCTCTGGATACTTACTGGAAACGACCGGACGCTGGGGGTTTAGCGTCCGGTCGCTTTGAGCTGCAGTGTCCGGTCATCATATGACCGTTGTGATCAGGCGCTCAACATTTGAAGAGAGGGGCACGTGGCACACATCGCGTGACCGGAGCGTCCTGTCACCCCGCGTTGTGCCCAGTGAAGGGGTACAACGGCTCTATTTTGTGGGGGCTTCTATTTAAGCCCTATGGTCGGCTCAAGCTCACTCTTTTGGCCATTTGCATTGACATAGCAACCTTGTGAGCTTAGCCAAAGCCCTCCCACTCATCTCCATCATTGATTCATCATCATTGTGAGATTGGGAGAGAATCCAAGTGCATTGCTTGAGTGATTGCATCTAGAGGCACTTGGTGTTCGTGTTTTGCTGCGGGATTCGCTTGTGGCTCTTGGTGGTTGCCACCACCTAGACGGCTTGGTGCAGCGGAGGAGGATTGGCATGAGTCGGTGATTGTTCATGGCCATCTCCGGTGATTGTGAGGGGATTTATACCTTCCCCGGTGGAGCGCCGAAAGGTAACTCTAGTGGATTGCTCATGTCATTGAGTTACCTCACTTGTGGGTAGGTTCTTGCGGTGTCCAATTGTGTGGACGAGGTTCGTGCAACACCTCTTAGCAGCTGAACCACCAAGTGTTGGTCGACACAACGGGGACGTAGCGTGTTGGCAAGCACGTGAACCTCGGGAGAAAATTGGTTGTCTCTTGCCCTTTGGTATTCTCCCAGTGATTGATAAAGTATTCGTCTTGTGATTGGTTCACTCCTCTCCATGGCGGTATAATCACCCTACTCACTCATTTCTATTCTTGCAAACTAGTTGTGGCAAACTCTTTAGTGTAATTAGAATTGAGAGCTTGCTTTGTTATTTTAAGTTCATCTAGTGGACCTCTTTAGAGTAGCAAATTGGAGAGCTCTTAGTGAGTAGTAACATTGCAAGTTGTGTACCTAGTAATCATTACAACTAGAATTGTTGGATAGGTGGCTTGCAACCCTTGTAGAGCTAGAGCAAATTTGTATTTCGTTATTTGTCATACTAATCAAATTGCTCTAGTTGATTTATAGATTTTTAAATAGGCTATTCAACCCCTCCCTTCTAGCCATATTAGGACCTTTCATTGGCACAGCAGCTCCGCTACTCATAGGCGCCTTATGGGGTGTTGGTGCTGAGATGTTGAATGCAGTGCTAAACACGGTTCTTGGACTGCTGTTCGAAGATGCCAAGGTAATTGATGCCATGATCTCATTTGCTGTCTTAAGATTTTCTATCTCTCAACATTTGGAACATAGTTATTTGTAATTTCATTACCGGTGTCTTCAACAAATACTTAAGTTTGGCAATGTGGCAAATGCAAGAGGCTGCCTTTGCACTGTTCAAGGTCTGGGAATGCGCTGCCGTTGCTGTCATCTTCTTCTTGAGCCCAAACATCATGCTACAGGCCATGCTGATCCTGATGACCACCGCCCTCTTCATCTCATGTGGCGCATTCCTGTTCCTCACAATTGTTACCGAAAAGCCATCGACTGTCAGATCCTGAGGCAAGTGGCTGTTCTCATATCTTGGTCAGTTACACAGTGTTATCAGCAGCAGCGGTCATGGGCGAAGGCAAGTTATGTGTTGGGGGTGCAAATGCACCACCCAAAAAAAATGCAAAAACAGTGAATTTGATTAAATTTTCACCATATATGCACCCACTATTAGACTTGTCTACGCACCCACAAGGCAAGTGCGCCACTCTCTAATTTGCTCTAGCTTCGCCACTGGCAGCGGTGGAGTGCCTCATATTGTCTTCACAGCTGATCTGGGAAGGAAATGTCCCTCCCATCAATATGAGTTGACATCGTATTTCATCACCCCCATTAAAGTGGACTAACCATTGCTGAACAGCTGATGTCAAGTTGCAGTGCTCAATTGAAGTTATAGCGGGTGAAAAGACAGGGAAAAACGAAAATCAGGTTTGATATGTGGTACTTTGAGTTGGGCAATCTTGAATATGTTGTATTGGACAAATACATGGACTTCTTACCCCACAGAAGTGTTTTTTTTCACAAAAAAAGAAGTGTATTTTTTTCAGGAAAATAAAAACAGAACCAGCACGGTTGTATATGGCCGTGAGGATCACAAGCTATAGTTCTATGATCACTAGCAACTAAGCATTCATGAATGTTTTCTTTGTTTTCTTTCAAGGGAAGACTTCACGAATGCCATGCATGGACAATTTTCTAAGTAACATGTACCAACGGTTTCTAAACTTGTTCGGTGCTGTCACATAGGTGTCATACTATTAATTTGTAGTTCTACTAGGCCCTCAAACTCATTCATTGAGTTCCAGAACCGTCTAATGAGTGCTGACGGTGACATGCTTGCTTACTTGGCGTTCATGTCCCCTTTCTTGTCACCATTCATATCGTTGTTGCTTTGTTTGGCCACACGTGTGTTACCGTACTACGAACGATCTATGATATATTGATAGTATTTTGGTGGAACAAGGTCTCGAGCTCTGGCGTTCGCTGCCGAGCTCGCCGCCGCCGCCGCCGTCGCCAACAAGGCACAGTTTTAGAATAATGACCAAGTCAAGTCTCTCTTCCTCTCCAAGCAGATACAAGAAGGGGCTGATACGCCACCTCCGACTTGGGCTAAGCAGGGCCAGTTGGGCCTAATTGATCCAGCTTGATTCATTATTCCTTGGGTTCGCCTTCCCGATCCTTGGCGCCCTCTTCTGGGCTTCCAGCCCACCTTCAATGTTCGCGCCTCCGTCTTCAGTAGCACCGGCGCCTGACTGTTCCTCATCGCTGAGCTCAACCACCGTAGCACGGTCGGTGGCATTCCCCTGTCCTTGAGTTCCAGCTTGTCCCCAAGCTGGCGCACGCAGAAACTGTTGATGCAGATGTTCTTCATCTTCCCATGTAGACAATGATTTAGGCAGAAAAGACCACTTCTCACCAGTACTTGAGGGATGACAATCTCATTTTGTTGGCGTAAGCGTCGATCAAGAATAGCCACTGGTACCTATAACTGGTTAGTTGGATCAGGCAAGTCGGACTTACAGTGGTGTCTGAAGGAACAACACGTTTCAACTGAGATACATGGAATACAGGATGAACTTGACAGGTATCTGGAAGTTCCAGTTTATAAGCACTCTGACCAATCTTCTCTAGAATTTGATAAGGACCAAAGAAGCGAAATGCTAACTTGTTTGAAGATCGAGTTGCCAAGGAAGTCTGAACATAAGGCTGTGCCTTCAGATAAACCCAATCGCCCAACTGCAAATGACGGTCAGATCGATGTTTATCTTCCTATGCCTTCATTTTGTTCTGAGCCCTGACCAAATGTTGCCTGACCACATGTTGCATTAACTCTCTTTCAGTCAACCAATTGTTCAGATCAGCCACAAGACAAGACTGTGAGATATCAATGCCAAAATGTCTTGGTTCATGTCCATATAAGACCATGAAAGGGGTTTTACCCAAGGATGAATGAAAGGAGGTGTTGTACCAATATTTAGCCATGGATAACCAGTGCAACCATTTGGTGGGAGTTGTATGAACAAAACAACGTAAGTAGGTTTCGAGGCATTGGTTCACTCTTTTGGTTTGGCCATCCATTTGAGGGTGATAAGCTCTGCTCATGCATATGTCTGTGCCAAGAAGTTTGAACAGTTCTTGCCAAAGGTGGCTTGTGAACACTTTGTCTCGATCAAATACTATGGCTTAGGGAAGGCCATGAAGTTTGAAAATGTTGTTCATAAAGAGTTGGGCCACTTGAAGAGCAGTGAATGGGTGGGATAATGCTAGGAAATGGGAGTATTTTGAAAATTTATCCACTACCACCAGAATGCAATTATATCACATTGATCTAGGCAGACCTTCAACAAAGTCTAAAGTGACCACTTGCCAAGCTCCATCAGGTATAGGTAGAGGTGCCAAAAGGCCAGGGTAAGCTACTCTTTCAGTTTTAGCTTGTTGACAAACAACACATTGGGCTACAAAGGTTTTGACTAATTGTTTCAGTTTTGGCCAAGCAAACAAACACTTGATCCTATTGTAAGTGACTTCAAAACCTGAGTGTCCTCCTATAGCACTGGTATGTAAGGCAGACAAAATTTTAGCTTGCAAAGAAGAGTCAGAGCCAATCCATACCCTGCCCTTGTACTTAATCAATTCATCCTAAAGTGTAAAGAAACCCACTACAGATTGGATGGATAACTCAGTTAACAGTTGCAGTGCCTGATTATCAAGTTGGTACCCATCTTGAATATCTTGGAGCCAGACTGGTTTAACCACAGAAAGAGCAGAGGTATCATAGGTGTCAGGTGGAGATACTCTAGAAAGAGCGTCAGCAACTTTGTTATCAGTGCCCTTTTTGTAGATAATCTTGTAGGAGAGGCCCATGAGTTTGGTCAAAGCCTTATGCTGCCATGGTGTGGATAGCCTTTGATCCTCCAAATGTGTTAAACTCTTCTGATTAGTAAGAATCACAAAAGGAGATGTTTGAAGATAGTGGCGCCAGTGATCAACGGCCATGATGATAGCTAAATATTCTTTCTCATATGTTGACAAACCTTGTGCTTTTACTCCCAAAGCCTTGCTAACAAAAGCAATTGGATGACCATTTTGTTGAAGGACAGCTCCAATGCCCTTTGTTGATGCATCTGTCTCTATAGTAAAAGGTAGAGAAAAATCAGGCATCACTAATACTGGGGTTGTACTAAGTGCTTGTGTCAGAGCTTGAAAGGAAGCTTCTGTTGTAGAAGTCTAGACAAAAATGGTTCCCTTCTTTAGTAATTCTATCACAGGTTTGCTAATTAAGCCAAACTGTTTAACAAACTTTCTGTAATATCCCACCATGCCCAGAAAACTTCTCAAGTCTTTCACATTTTGAGGCTGTGGCCAATTCCTGATGATATCAATCTTGGAGGGATCTGTTGCCACTCCTTGAATACTAACTACATGGCCCAAATAAGTGAGCTGGTGTTTTGCAAAAGTACACTTGGCTAACTTGACATGAAACTGGTGGTTTTGTAGGATAGTAAACACTTCTCTGAGATGTTGCAGATGCTCTTCCCAAGATTTATTATAGATCAGAATATCATCTATGAATACAACTACACACTTCCTTAACAGAGATTCCAAAATGATATTCATAATGGCATGAAAAGTTGCAGGTCCTCCTGTCACACCATAAGGCATTACCCTGTACTCATAATGTCCATTATGTGTTTGAAAGGTAGTTTTAAACTCCTCTCCCTTAGCCATTTAGATTTGATGAAATCCAGATCATAAATCTAGAGAAGTGAACCACTGTGCTCCATGTAACTCATCTAACAGGTCTTCAATTAATGGAAGAGGATACTAGTTCTTAGTAGTCAGTGCATTCAAGCGCTTATAATCAACACAAAGTCTCCAGTCACCTATCTTCTTTCTGACTAAAAGTGTAGGAGAAGAAAATGGGCTAGTGCTGACTTGAATCCATCCTTTCTCAAGCATCTCTTTGATTTGAGTTTCAATCTCACTCTTTTGAGCAGGGTTGTATCTATAAGGCCAGAGGCAAAAGGGTTGGGCTCCTTCTAGAAGAGGAATTATGTGATCACCCTATCTCTCAGGAGGCAATTCAGTGGGAGTAAACACAGTGTCAAATTCCTTCAAAAGAGACTGTAACTCAGGAGGCAGTGATGTAGATACTGAATCAGTTGTTCTCTGAGCTTGTAACTGAACAACATACAAGATGGAATCTGTTTTATCCAAAGCTTGTAATTGATACTGAGAAACTGGGGCTCCCAGATTAGCAGAAGGTAGTATACCCTGCATCTTAATGACTTTGTTGTGATGTGTGAACTGCAACCATTTATCCACCCATTGGATTTTCATTGGACTATGTAACTCTAACCAATCCATGCCCAAAACCACATCATAACCTCTGAGTGGTATGATTTTCAAGGTAGTGTGGAAAGAATGTCCTTGAATTCCCCATAATTGATGGAGAGTTCATGAGTGCAACTGAACATGTCCCCATTAGCCACTTGCACTTGTACTGGTTGAGAAAGTTGTTGACTAGAATCCAAGTGTGGAACCAGCTGCTCACTTATGAAGCTGTGAGAGCTACCAGAATCAACTAGCATAAATACTTCTCTGCCTTGAAGATGGCCTCTGAGTCTAATGGTCTTAGAACCTTCAGTGCCATTTAGTGCTTGTACAGATATAGCCATAAGTTCATCATCTGTATCAGTATCTTCCTCAATAGAGGGAAGCCCAAGCTCTTCCCCTTCAGTGACACATTTCCATAGCTCTTCCATAGCATGAAGAGAAACTGTGGGAGGACACTTATGTTGGGGTCCCCATTTCTCTCCATATTTGAAACAGAGACCTTTGGCCCTTCTATAATTTTTCAGTGCGGATATCTTTTCATCACCAGACTTGGCCACAGTAGTTGCAACAGTCTTCTTCTCTTCAATTATCTTCGGAGTGCCAACAGCTGAAGGAAAATTTGATTTCTGAGCTTCATTGAAATTCTTCTTAGAGTAATTGCCAGATTCAAATCTTCTTGTAGGTTGGTCTTGAGTCGCCTCTTTCTGCAAAAGCGCCAACGAACTAGCAGTATCGAGATCCTGAGGTCTATGCATCACGACAACAGCTCTTATATCTTTTTTCAAGCTATCAATAAAACAATTGGAAATGACTCTAGGTGGAAAGGATTTATCATGGGCAAGGAGGTGGTGGACGATGTCATTGAATTGTTCCACATATTTAGTGACAGTTGTAGTTTGTTTGATGTGGAAAATGGTGAAGCAGGTGATTGTGTTCATCCTTATCGAATCTATTACAAACTGCTACAACAAAGGATTCCCAGGTCATAGTATTAACTGGATCCTACAGGGTTTGAAACCAAAGGGATGCAAAACCAGTGAGACGCATGGATAATAAACGAACCCACAGACCGGGGTCAGTCTGGTAAACATCAAAATAAGTCTCACAACGTTTGATCCACAACCTATGATTCGACCCGTCAAACTTGTGAAATCCGACCTCAGGAAAAGGAGGATGGAGTAGGTAGGGTGGGTATGGAGGATAGAAACGCCAATCACGCTGCCCCAAACCATCAGTATGCGAAAGAGTAAGAACAAGTTTTTGGTGAGGTGTCGCACTTATGACCGGGGCCGTTTCTGGGGCGACGGTGTACACCACCCCGAAATCAGCACCCCGGTGAGTAGTTCCCTTGCCGTGGTCTAAGGACCCGGGTGCCACCCATGATGGGTGAAGCTCCAGCTGCTCGGAGCTCGGCCCCTTGGCGCTTGGAGAGGCGAAGTAGTCCTACCGAATCGCCGCGTTGAGCGAGGGTTGAGCGACGGTGACAACCCCCGACTGCTCCACCATGGATGGATCAATCGGTTGTGTTTGCGGAAGACGAGATCCTAGAGCCTTCTCGACACGCTCGCCAAGCTCCAATACCACGTGCTCAAACTCATGGACGCGGTTGTCGACTTCGGGCTTCCATGTGAGTATGATGTGAGTACGTGTATGGAACACATGACTGCAACTTGTATAGCCTGATCTTCATAGTAGAGCATAAGTGAACTTGATAACTATCGTTGCATGACCTGATGGAGAGGTAGCGCACCACGAGATCTTGCACCCGCGACGAACTGCCAAGACATCCACCCTTCCATGCACCGACAAAACCAGTCCACGCAATCACGCCATATAGACATGAAGGCACGAAATGGATGAACTGAAGTTCAGTGTTCTACAACCCCCTCAGGAATCGAAAGAACGAATGTTGCAAAGCACTCATGCCTTACCAAAGATTCCAAATATTCTCTCCATGAGAGGAGAACACACACACAAGGTGGCTGTATTTTAACCAAAAGAGACTCTTACATAGAAGGATTACATGGGTATTTATGCAATGACGAAGAGTATGCGAAAAGTTGACACTTAATCTAGGTGCTAACTACCATACCAAAGGTCCTCTTTACTTTTGGCTAACTGAAGTGGAAACTCAAGCAATCTCTTCAATTCTCGCGCAGGTGCTGGGCTGCATGTGCACCTTCCACTAAAATGATCATAACTCTTAGCTCGGAAGTCCAAAAGATGCACCGTTTGTTGCGTTGGAAACTAGACTTCAATATCTTTCTGTTGATATGGAATAAGGATGCAGAAACGTGGGCCAGTTTTACAGGTATAGCTGTAACAAACTGTTGAATCATAGTTGAGGTTGAGTTATCCTTGTCCACATCATTCTCTCTCCCTTCGAAACGAGTCATCCTCGACTCGTGCTCATAGCATTAACATTGGACGAACATTATTGGAAACTTGACTCAAGAAAGAACAAAAAAAACAAGACTTGACGACGCAAGATAACTACAAACTCGAGCGCAAACTGAGAACAACTCCATATAGTGACAACCAAACCATCGAATTGACCCGACGCAATGAGAGGAAACCAATGTTTAAATCTCTCAAGGCACCCTATCAGCATTCTGACTTGACTCAACACTATCTAGGAATTGAATACCAATCTGCGAAGGAAGCTTGTAAGGATAATCAGCTCACACCATGACAACCAAGGCTCTGAATACCAAATGATGTGTGTACGTGTATGGAACATACGACTACAACTTGTATGGCCTGATCTTCATAGTAGAGCATAAGTAAACTTGATAACTATCATTGCATGACCTGATGGAGAGGTAGCGCACGACGAGATCTTGCACCCGCGACGAACTGCCGAGACATCCACCCTTCCATGCACCGACAAAACCAGTCCACGCAATCACGCCATATAGACATGAAGGCACGAAATGGATGAACTGAAGTTCAGTGTTCTACAACCCCCTCAGGAATCGAAAGAACGAATGTTGCAAAGCACTCATGCCTTACCAAAGATTCCAAATATTCTCTCCATGAGAGGAGAACACACACACAAGGTGGCTGTATTTTAACCAAAAGAGACTCTTACATAGAAGGATTACATGGGTATTTATACAATGACGAAGAGTATGCGAAAAGTTGACACTTAATCTGGGTGCTAACCACCATACCAAAGGTCCTCTTTACTTTTGGCTAACTGAAGTGGAAACTCAAGCAATCTCTTCAATTCTCGCGCAGGTGCTGGGCTGCATGTGCACCTTCCACTAAAATGATCATAACTCTTAGCTCGGAAGTCCAAAAGATGCACCGTTTGTTGCGTTGGAAACTAGACTTCAATATCTTTCTGTTGATATGGAATAAGGATGCAGAAACGTGGGCCAGTTTTACAGGTATAGCTGTAACAAACTGTTGAATCATAGTTGAGGTTGAGTTATCCTTGTCCACATCAGAGTAACTCCGCCTTCAATGTCCTCATCTCTGACATAGAACTCTTGAGCTCGTTGATTCCCTTTGAATTCTCACTCAACACCGCTAGAATCTATCCCAGTTGTTCCTCTGGCGTCGCCATAGCCATCTGTCGATGCGTGAGATACTGATGAGATGCCAGAATCGTGATTTCCCCACAAATCAACTCGCGGTGCTTGGGAATCACAGAGAAATCTCCGGCGACAGCAGCTCACTACCCTCCAGAGATCTTGATCCAACCTGAAGCATTTGCAAATCGATCGATGGGATGCGGAAATCAGGTGATTGAGGCAGAAATGGCTCCGATACCAGATGTTACCGTACTATGAACGATCTACGATATATTGATAGTATTTTGGTGGAACAAGGTCTCGAGCTCCGGCGTTCACCGCCGAGCTCGCCGCCACCGTCGCCAACAAGGCATGGTTTTAGAATAATGACTAAGTCAAGTCTCTCTTCCTCTCCAAGCGGATACAAGAAGGGGCTGATACGCCACCTCCGACTTGGTCCACGCAGGGCCAGTTGGGCCTAATTGATCTAGCTTGGTCCAGTATTCCTTGGTTCGCCTTCTTGATCCTTGGTGCCCTCTTCTGGGCTTCCGGCCCACCTTCAATGTTCGCGCTTCCGTCTTCAGCAGCGCCGGCGCCTGTTCCTCATCGCTGAGCTCAATCACCGTAGCGCGGTCGGTGACAATGTGGTAGCCAATGGAAAATAAGAATTACTGTAACGTGGAACCAGGAACCTGTCATTCACTTATTCCCTATAATGGCGTCTTTCTAATTTTTCTTTCGCAATTAAAAGTTTGGTCTAAATTAAATCCGGAACAATTATTAGGACCATCTTTGCACTTTACCCTGTCTTTTCTTTTTCAAATAAGAATCTCATGAACATATTACATATGTGATTCGGAGAAACATGAATGAAAATGGGGAGAATAGGAATGGCAATTTGCCCTCACGGCCTCAAACGCATAGGTGCCGTAGAAGCGGGGAAAAAGAAGAAGAAAAAAACCACGTTTCTACTGCTCAGGCGGCAATGTGACCAGAGTCAAAATTTAAATTTACTTTACAGATGGAATAAATTTTCCATGTCGTGTCGCATTTAACAATTTGCAACATGTTAATTCACGCAAACTATCGTCCTGTATCAGCGGCTGTGACTTATATATATTTTTTTTAAAAGAATTTCTAATCGCTGCCGGCATCCTCCCGTCGTCGTCGTCGTCGTCGTCGTCGTCGTCCCGTTCCCCAAATCACAAGCACGAAGAACACGAGCAGAACAACCACTTGGGCTGGGCAGACGGCAAACCGCAGAGCGCAGAGAGCACGCCACCTGCCGTCCTGCCCACCCACCACCTCGTCCCCAATTTCGCCTACTCGCCCCAAACGCCTCCATGGCGGGCGCGGACGCCGAGCTCGCGGCGGCCGCCGGCGACGTCGAGGAGGCTGCGCCCTTGCTGGTCCCCGACCCCGGCGCCCGCCGCGCGTCCGCCTCGGCGACGGCGGCCTCCCGCGACGTGCACCTGCTGAGCTCCGCCTTCCTCTTCGTCTTCCTCGCCTACCACGCCGCGCAGAACCTCCAGAGCACCGTCAACACGGTACGCCCAACCCACCCAGCCGCTTCTTTCTGCTCGCGGCCGGCCGGCCACGGCCAGCGCCGCTGGCGCTGCTCCGCCAGACCAGAGACACGTAGCTTAGCTCACCTCACCCGTGGCTTTGGCGGCCGTGCTCTCTCGCAGGACGAGAACCTGGGCGACATCTCGCTGGGCGTGCTCTACACGTCCTTCACGGCGTTCTCGGCGGTGGGCTCCGCGGTGGTGCGGTGGATAGGGTCCAGGCGCGCGCTCGTGGTCGGCACCTCCGGCTACCTCCTCTTCATCGCCGCCAACCTCGCACCCTCCTGGTAAGCACACGCTCGCACGTGCCTCCTGCCTCCCTCTCTGTTCCTCTGCAAGACTGCAACTGCAATGCGGCTGCCGCCGCTGATCGGGGTTCACTTTCCCCGTTCCCGCATCTGAATTCTGTCACTTATCTAGTGCCTGTAGCTGAATCTTGGGATAATTTAGGCAGGTGTAATCGAGTCTCTCTGAATCCTGACACGCACTTCATGTGACGCAGTGACGGTAGCTAGGGGACGTGGACCAGTGCTAATTTTAACGGATCTTGGATGGAATTTCTTTCCGGAAACATCAAGGAAGTTTACACTATTTTAAGATGAAAACAACGGACATCTGATGCTAGTTCCACATAGAGGGGGAAAAAATGTACTGCTATGATTGTGAGGGGTGGTGATGGTGCAAACTCGGCAAACATTGGGCAGTTCAAGTGTCTTTGATTGCGGCACGGAGTGACTACAACCAACCCCATCGTTTTAACGAGCATAAATAATAGCATCCATAACTGTAAAATTCTCTTAAAACTATGTTGGACTGACGAGGACATTATGTCCTTTGAGGGAGAGGTTTATATGACATCCGTCTAGTTTGTATTTGACCAATGTGTGTTGATGTGCGATCGTGGGGTGGTAGTATTTGATTCACTTAGTGTGAAGAGCAGATCTGAGTCGTTTAAACTTTGGGGAATTACAAACTATCTGTATTTGTAACGTAAAATGTGATCTTTATCACCTCATAAAATTTCCAAATGAAAACTCAAATTGTACTTTAAGAATCAAAAGAAAAAAGAACAAATTTTGTTAAGAGGTCAAACTAACCGATTTAAATAGTTTGGAGGAGTTAATATGTTAGTTTATGCGGTTCTAGACTTAAGATAAATTTGGAGGAAGTAATTTGGACTTTTCTCTAAAAAAGTGACTGATCCAAGAAGCACATTATTATTGAATCCACTAGGTGAAAACTTCAAACAGTGACTAAAGCAAAAGTAATGTTAGTGAAAGACATCATCAACACGCATCATTTATACTCCCTCCATTCAGAAAAGAATACAATTCTCGTTTTTCAAGGAATAAAAAAATACTAACATTTATGATACAAAATAAATACTATTAGACTAATTATTAAATATATTTTCGTAATAAACTGATTTGGAGATATAAATGTGAATATTATTTACTCTAAACTTGAACTACTTTAATGGATACAGATACCATAGTTATGTTCTTTTGTGGACGGAAGTAGTAGGAATACTTCCTTAGGTTTGGGGCCAAGTGAGACCGTGAGACCTATTGCTTATAACAACGGCCATCATTGCTCATGCAGGTGACAGGCATTGGTTTTAACGGTAATTTATAAGCTTTGTTTGGTTGACAGGGGTAAAATCTCCTAGGGGATCTTATCATTCGGTTAACAGGGGTCAAATCTCCTAGGGATCCTATCTAGGGAGGGATTGAGTGGATCTCAGACATGTCACTCAATCACTTCGGGGTGATCCCTTGAACCAAACACACCCTTGCGTCTTTGCCCCTGGAGTTTGTTCCACGCGGTTGGACACATGGTTTCATTCCCTAGACAAAGAGACGGGAATTGATTAGGCTACAAACACGGCCAAACTGAACCGAACACCCATTTTTCTGGCAGATCGGGATTCTCTCTAAGCTGGGGTGGTCCACGGGGATAAGCCCGCAATCCTAGCCAATCCGGGCCCAACCAAATGAAGTGATAGTTGGCTCAACAGAGACATGCGTATGTCTTTTTTCCACCACTTTTTTTACCTGACGCACGCATGTAAAAATGGTTATCCACTCTCTCGTCAACCATCTCAAAACAACTAAATCCCTAGTCGCGAGCTCATGTCCTAGTGTCTCCGCTATCTACCACAAATGCACACACGACACCTCTGCCCCCAGTGACCTCTGTGCATGTTGGATTCTTCCTCATTAGTGATCTCTGGTTCCACACGGAGCAGTCCATTAGCGTGGGCACCTCCTCTTTTTTTCCCTTTCTCTGAGGATGGTGTGGGCATCATCGAATGCTCCTCTTTGTTGGGTGTGGCATGGATTCCGATATCGGCTCTTCTAGATCCCCAAGCACGTGCCCGGTGCCCCCATCATTTCCAAGTTAGGCTTTCCCTTATCTAACCCTAGAATGCATGGATGGATTTGTCATTTCTCGAACCCTAGAACACATTGATGGATTTGGTCTTGATAAATGTGTAAGATGATGGATTGGGGATGAGACACATACTTGGATGGATTAGGGCTTCAATGAATAGGATGGCTTAATGTTTGTATGGGTTGTTGTTAGGACTTGGTTTCGATAAATAAATGTACAGATGACTTAGATGAGTTGCTGCATTAGGGCTTACATGCATGCTTGGATGGATTATAATAACATGACAGTATATTTGGGGTGCCATATTCATTATAATTTTCCTCATGTACTATACTTCACAGATAAGTGAGCCAATTATCCTTAGGTATGTCAATCACTAAGTCGCTCATCTAGATAGCAATAGCATTGCTACTTTGTTATGCCATGCAAAAGACCGTGAAAAGTTTGAGTTAATGTCTCGTAGGCATTTATGACTCAAGTAGTCAAGTTATTGTTTGAATCTAGTTGTGAGCATAATCTTATGTGGTGTTTGGTTCTGGGGACAAGACAATGAGGTTTTCATCTTCACCGGTGTTTGGTTAAGGGGCGGCTAGGATGGAAGCATCCCGCGAATGGGCCTCCAGCCTAGTGGCTGGAGCTCCTCATTAGCACCACAACAGGCCAGGATCGAATCCCCATGAGGACAAATTTCTGGGCTAGATTAAAAAACAAAAAAAGGCAGGGGTTCACCGGCTGGCGGTTCAAAAAAAGGATGGAATCATCCCCAATATTTCTCTGCAGAGAATATTTCCATAAGACCTGGACGTCCTCATCCCTCGTAAACTGGTGGTCCAACTCGTCCCTTCTTGGCACCACCATTTATCCTTTTTGTCTTCATCTCTCTTACCAAACTAAAATAGGGATGATCTTATCCCTACAACAAACTGGTGGTCTAACTCGTTCCTTTTTGGCACCACCATTCACCCTTTTCGTCTTCATCCCTCTTACCAAACCTAAAATAGGGATGATCTTATCCCTCCAACAAACAAGGAGACATGTGGTTGTTCCATTTAAAAAAATTTGGCACAAAACCATCTTGTCCGGTCTTGAACCAAACACAACCTTAGATTCCTCTCTGGACTTTGGTGGTTCCACCGAACGTCACAATAGGTCTCGAATCAAACACAACCTTAGATTCCTCTCTAAACTTTGGTGGTTCCGCCGAACATCACAATAGGTCTTATTGGTTGCTTGCATTAGTCTAGTCTACATTAGATGCAGCATAACCTAAGCTGGCGTAAACTTATGCAGCGTCTTAGTGTTTGACTATTCTGCACAGGCAAGACGTATTTGATAAAAATTCGTTTGGTTGCTTGCATGCATGTATAATCACTTTCATGTTTTAGTTGAGGTCTCATGTTTTTGTAAAGATATGGAAGATGAGAATATTTTGTGTGTGCACCGGATTGTTTAAGACGATTATGGTGTACCAACTAACACAATATTAGATCTGCTTTGAGCATCAAAGCATTGTGCAGGGATGCAAACCTACGTAGTATTCTGCATTCTAACCAAACACGAGCAAATAGTGTGCGTGAAATTGTGAGTGCTCTTGACGTGTCCGAAGCGGTTGGGGTAGAGTAGGTATCGCGTCAGCATTATTGGGTGCTTGCGTGATTCGACAAGACGCGCCACCTGACAAATGGCGCTATCAGTCTGACTGTCTGAGTACGATATTTATCCAGATTCCAGAACATAGGAGTAGTTTGGGGTAGAGTCTGACTGCATGGATGTGATTATGAGTCCAACGGCGGCAGCTTTAGATATGCACAGCAAAGGCCGGCGACTGTCAACGTCGCGTTGGCAGAGGGTCCAAGAGGGTGCCAACACGGGTGCAGGCCACTGCTTTACATACTGCTGATTAGTGCTGCAAAGCCTTACTATCGTCGGTCGTGGAGTGATAAAAGTTGAGGGAAAACAGAATATGTCAAAGAAAAATTGCAAAACTTAAGGAACCCGGAGGGAGAAGGGAGAGATCTCAATGTTACACTTCCTATCTACTCGCTCTCGCTCTGCTTTTCTAAATAAATCTTCTCTAAGAAGGCTGCCCCACTACTTAATGAATCTCATGGGCCTTGTCTTGGCTTCAAAGAAAGACTTTTCGAAATGTCTCCCTCTAGCCTTTCTTGGGAAAGATCGACTAACTCGAAGCGGAAACTTGAAAATACCAATCATCGCTAACTGATTCTAGCTAGCTATTTCGAGAAAGAAAGAGAAAATGGTCTACGGGCCTATCACTTCGATAGCTAAGCCAGCTACTCATCCAGGGTGGTCAAGCACAACATGTCCAATTACCAAAAACTCCTTTTCATTTGTGAACCACTTAGAAAGTTTTCTACTTGATTGGCATCCGTCCACATGTTACCAACAACATATCATTCTCTATCGAAATTGTCAAGTGGGATCAATCCCCAATGCTCTTCTTTCTTCACATCCTACTGCTCCGCGTATTGGGGGTGAGTTCAGGTCTCTCATCTTTGAGGGGTTAGGGTGCGGATTTTGCTTGGATGTGTTTTTTTTTTCATTCGGGATGGTATTGAAGGACTATTAGAGCTCCCAAAATCCCTAAAAAACTATAGTTTTTCTGTTGGGCGTGGGAATTAGAGGATCGGTGGAGATGCTCTTATATACTCTTCAAAGTATTAAATTTATGAAAAGAGGTTGAATCGGTTAAGTACGTAGTGTATGAGGGGTAAGAGGGTGGTGAGACATTTGCAATAAATTACTTTGAAGAGACTCAAAATCCAAAGTACAGTAGTATTGCTTAGGGCGTATTTGGTTCATTCATAGCCAAAATTTGTCACTTCACGGTTTAGACCATAAATTTTTAGACCGCTACGACTTGCCATACTTCTAGCCCACATGTCATAGCCCACACTTCTAGGGCTTAAGTGTGGTAAACAAACATTTGGTAAAGGTTGGCAAACAAGTGTGGCTACAACACGTGGTCATCGGACAAACACACCTTTAATGACATAAGATTTCAAACTGAATTTCGTTTTTTTCTCATTTCCGCTTGGCTTAATCCAGATTAAAAATGAGTTCACAAGAAGCCACAAAAAACTTTTTTTTGGCGACGATTTCAGATCTTGGTTGCCGTCTAATGATCCAAAGTATCCGTCTTTTCCCCGACAATTTCAGATCTTGGTTGCCGTCTAATGATGCGAGGATACTATCCACTTGGAAAGTTTTGGGAGATCCCAGAGGCCACGTGCGCCGTCCTCGAATAATCTATCCGCAAACGGCAAGAAACATACAAGAACGCACGGACAAAAAGCGCAGGAAATCACCACCAAGCGGCCGCTACGGACAAGCCAGCGAGCCACTGCCCTGTGGGGCCCTTCGACACGCCCGGCCGCCTGCCTCGTCTCGTCTCCTCCGCTCTCCCGCGCCGGCCACCGGACCTCTCCTCCTCCTCGAGGCCCCCGACTATAAGAGCTTCTAGAAGCTTCTCTCCTCACCTCACTGCGCACTCTACTCTCGCCCCCCACGCCCGCTGCCCCCTTTGGCCGCAGCCATGGACGCCCACCGCGAAGACGAGGAGGCCGCCTCGCCGCTCATAGCCGCGCCGGCGGCCGGCGGTCGGAGCCACGCCGCCGACGCGCACGTCCTCTCGGCAGCCTTCCTCTTCGTCTTCTCCGCCTACAGCGCCGCCCAGAACCTCCAGACCTCCGTCAACACCGTACGCGGCGGTTCTCCCCTCTTTCGTTCGCACTCGCGGATTTCCGATCCCTCCTGTTCCTGTGTTGCTCGTTCTCATCAGTGATCCACGCGGTGGCTCGCGGTGCAGGAGGGCGACCTGGGCACCGTCTCGATGGGGACTGTGTACACATCCTTGACGCTCTTCTCCGTGGCCGCGTCGCCCGTGGTCACGCGTATAGGTCCCAAGCGCGCGCTCGTCGTCGGCACCAGTGGATACGTGCTCTTCATCCTCGCCAACCTCGTCCCGACATGGTGCGTGCGTCTTTGGTCGTGTATCGCGATCCTATCTGGCAGACACGGATGCTGTGCTAGTGTTTGGGGGGCGTGTGTTGGTTCGGAACTGGACGCGTGGTACCTGTTCGATAAAAGGACCCTTGGTAAAATGCAGGAAGCGTTCGTTTGGGTTAGAGATGAGTGCCGATGCTACTTGATAAACTCCTGTCTGATCGTGTACTGTAGTCGGTCTTGGGTAGCATTTGTGTGACATTGCCCCTCGGGTGATTGGGACATCTATCAGTTTACATTGCCTCTCCACGGCCACCTAACAAAACACCTCAGGCTCAGAACTATTAATTTGCCTCCTTGTTCAACAGCTAGATCTCCACGGGCTTTTGGCTGGTGTTCTCCCGGCTATGATCTCACTTTGTCTGATCTGAAAGATGGTAGCCTGTGCTGTGTTGGCCTGTTGGATTGGACTTGGATGCATGATAGAAACCTCTCTGATCAAATTACTTGCTAGGCGATGATGTTCATTTGAGTTAAGTGATGAGTGTTTATTTCTACTTGATCAACTCTTGTTTGGTAGTGTGCTATAGTTTGTATTTGATGGAGGATGCACAAAATTCAGTCCATTGAAAGGTCTAGTCCATGTCGATGGGAAATAAGGTAGTATATGTGTTATATTTCTACACAGCCCTTCTCCTGTCAATAAGTGACTTGGAAGGGACTCAGGTCACGGGATTCTTAATAAAGTCTATCTGAATTTAGCGTTCATGGTATCTTTTGGGCCTCTTCCCATTGGGGAATCTCTCCTGGTAATATACCAGACAAGCTACCAGGGAAATGGTTTTCCTGTTTCTTTGATACTAGAAGACTACCCCGCGCGTTGCTGCGGGATTTTCTTAAAAATAAATCTGTTATATACATAGTATTACTATATGGTATTCTGTATACTGTGTATATATATATGAATTTGACTTGCATGTTATTTTATTGTATTGAATTTGGTAAAAATTGATAAGCTAATAGAAGAAAAACCAATAGAATATTTGATTAATTATAGGGGAATAGGTGATGAAACAAAGTATTGCACATGATAGATATGGGCGTACCCAGTGCAGAGAGCTCCCGCTCTGTGCGGGGTCTGGGGAATGGTGTTAGTAGCAAGCCTTACCCTCGCCTGTGCAATGCGAGGAGACTGCGACTCGAACCTAGGACCTTCCGGCCATAAGCGGTAAGACTCTACCGCTTACACCAGGCCCGCCCTTCAACACATGATAGAGATGACGTGGAATTTTTTTGTTATTAATAAGGGATGACATGGACTTAGTGGGGAATAATGTGGACACCTTGCATGAAGAGATAGAACATCTAGTGGGTCACTTAGTGGAAAATGATGTGGACACCTTGCATGAAGAGAAAAATCATCTATTGGGGTATAGCTTTATAAGAGTATATAGATAGATGCAAGTTGTTTGGACATGGATAGCCTTTGATCCTATGTGATATGCTTCCTAATCTAGTGGGTGTTTCAGTTGTGTGAAATGCGAAAGAAAGTTACAGTACATTCAATGTGGTGCCTCTCATGTGATGTTAACTTAGATGACAAAATTTCAGGTACACAATGGTGCCAGCTTCACTCTACCTTGGTTTTACTGCATCGATCATTTGGGTTGGGCAGGTAATGCTATTACCTGGATTTTCTAATACGTATTATTCCCTGTTTCTTTCCACCTCAGGCACCTATACATTCATTGCAGGGTACATACCTTACATTAGCTGCCCTCAGTCATGCAAGAGAAAATAATTTGCCCGAGGGTCCAACTTTAGGGAGCTTCAATGGGGAGTTTTGGGGAATGTTTGCTAGCACACAGGTACAGTTTTCCAAGAGCTCCTCTTAATCAAAACATGCTCGGAGATATTCTAGTATTAATTCTTCATCCCTAAACTGAACTGTATTTCTCTCTGGATATGTCTCCTCTGCAGTACAATAGTTTCTAACTTATACATACATGTGAACTATGTAGGTGATTGGAAATCTGATCTCGCTTGCTTTGCTGAGAAATGGAAAGGTTAGCATCACATTGTAATATTTCAAACTGTAGATTCTTTTTACATTTGGCATTATGTTCTTGATAATTACAATCAGTAGCTAGAGCTAAATTAAGGTTCATGACTTACCCTATAGTAGCATGATCTTCACTTGATATTTTTTTTTATAATGTTGTGTTATTACTTGTGAGATGCCATCTTATTTGACCCTCTGTTTCTTATATCGCTTCAGGATGGTGGAAGTGTCACAGGGAAAAATCTTCTGTTTGCTGTGTTTCTTGGTTTTATGATTGTGGGCATTGTATTAATGTGTTTACTTTCGAAAAGAGATGAGAAAAGAAATAATACTCCAACACATTCCTCATTTGGAGCTATGTTAAAGTACATCATCGCCCCACTTAAGGACCAAAGAATGCTTCTTACCATTCCTCTTATAGCATATTCAGGTTTACAACAGGCATTTGTATGGTATGTAGTCTATATCAATTTCAACATCCATGGTTGTTCACTTCTTAGTAAGCATTTTTCTAAGACAGTTCTGTGGATTTTTCTGAAGGGCGGTATTCACAAAGAGTATTGTAACACCTGTTCTTGGCATCAGCGGCGTTGGTGGAGCCATGGCAATTTATGGTGCAGCAGATGTAGTGGTAGGTAAAATGAAAATGAGCTACTTGTTGAATGACTAACCATCTTGTACCTAGACAGCGTTTATCAGATACTCCATTCGCCTACCATTTTCAATCTACATTCTTTACTCATTTTGCCCTGTTGCTTCCATTGCTTTAGGCAATAACCTCCGAAGCGCACTAGTCACACTAGCAACCAATGCATATCTTGTTTTCCAGTTATCTGCAACATAGAACTATACCATTCAAAACTACTGAAAGAAAAACTGTACTACGAGAACCATACCTGATTCTTGGAACATGGCTGGCATTGCAGTGCTCATTGATTGCTGGACGATTAACCTCAGGACTTCGCTCAGCAGCATTTATAGTTTCTGTTGGGGCTATTCTTCAGGCCGTAGTCCTATTCTGGTTGCTTCTTTTTTACAGGTTTGATTTCTGTAAAAGCCATTATGCAATTGCGCCTATAACTGCTACTGTGATTGCTTATAACTGCTACTGTGATTGCTTACTCACCTTTATCTTGCCCACAGTCCAATGGATGGACTGCTTGGCGCAGCGATACCACTATTCATAGGTGCCTTGTGGGGTGTTGGTGATGGTGTCTTGAATACACAGTTAAGTGCATTACTTGGGCTGCTGTTCGAAGATGTCAAGGTAATCTTGTTTTAGTGTTTTTGGTTTGGTGTTTCATGTACACATATGGACTTTCATCTCATCTGCTGGCATATGAGTTCATTCTTTTGATATTTCAAGGGTATTATAGATTTTTTTTTGTTTGCTGCCGTAGCTACTTGTCCTCAACAAATACTCGAATTTGACACCATGATCAATGCAGGAGGCTGCCTTTGCACAGTTGAAGGTGTGGCAGTCGGGCGCCATCGCAGTCATCTTTTTCCTGAGCCCAAGCATCGCGCTGCAAGCCATGCTTATCCTGATGGCCGCGGCCCTCGTCATCTCCTTTGGCTCATTCCTGTTCCTTACCATTGTCGTTGAGAAGTCATCACCCGTCATCGCCTGAAGTGAAACCATTTCCCGATGTCCAGATCGGCGCCAGTATGACTTTGTCAGTATTACCAGTGGCCTGAGCAGCGCCGTTGTTGTATGATTGTTTCCACTATTCACCGGAAATGCAGCATCCATCGAGTGCGATTTGTGGCGCAGTGGCACCATATTACGCCATTGGTTTCAGGCAGCCATTATCTGAACCGAAGCTGTAGCAGCAGTCCGTGAAATGGGGAAAGAAACCGTCGATTTGGGCACACTTCTTGCTTGTCAGTACTGGTCCTTTCTCCTTTTGCATGCCTGCAGCAATGTTGTTGTTAAAAAGAAGATGTTGTAAGAAATGTTCTTTCATTTGGACCACAGGATTCGTTGTAAACATCACATCCAATGAGAGTTAATGGTCTTCTGTTGTTTTCTGCTGGACATTGATCATGAAATTCTCATTCTCATGTTTCAAAAGAACTCGATGTATTCTCATGTTTCAAAAGAGCTCGATGTGGAAGATCAGAGGCGCTGGCAGCAGTGGCCTACATATAACATTGTTCACTGAAGGATGTGATTAGGTTTCTAGTAGTTAACCACAAACGTTTTATACAAATTCTTTAATTCCTTACATGTATGTATTTAAAAAAAGCTGTACTGAAGCAAGCATGGTTTGACATGTATTGCGTGGAATTTTGTACAAGTTTTATGTTGGCATTAAGTCATTATCTATCATATCAGAAAATTCTGACCTGGAAAGAAATGTCTCTAGGCAGGTCGTGTCAAACGAACCTCTCAAACTACTGAAGCATACATGTGAGCTGAAATTTCCTTGAACATCGCTCAAACTATCACTCAAGCATGGTTTCGCTTGTGTTTCGTTCCTTGACAGTTGAAGTAGAGACATTTCTAAAAGAACTCTACCCGAAAGAGTTTTAAAAAGGACAGTATCATCAGATGGACTAACAAATGTAGACAGTCTCATCAGACGGTTCTGAATTACAAAAGTAGATTTATTTAGATGGGCTAACACAAAACTTACACTGAACTGTTGGGCTCCTCCTCGAGGAGAAAGAACCCTCCAAAAATAGGCGTATGCTGCTTATTGCAGCGAGCACACGGTATTCTTTAGTAAAAGGCGAAAGAATAGTTCGCTCTGTGCCCACTGCGCAGCTGCGTGCTCTTCCAACATCGCTCCTGGCTCTCGTAAATATTAGAGCTTCCTGTTTCTGTTAGCTTCAACAAGCGGTTTGGGACTAAGGGCAAAGCGTCGGCCGTGCCGTGCCCACTCCTCGCGCTGTCTACGCTAACGGGCCAATGGCCGAACTGCAAATCAAGGCGGCCATGGATTTCCATTTCCCGCAGGCCGGACTGCACTGGTGATGCCCACTGGCCCAGCGGACTGCGCGACCTAGGCAGCCGCTTGCTATCCGGCCCAAGTGGGCGCTGGAGCTGCCAGGCTCGCCCACTGCTCCCCATTCTCGCTCGCATGCATTTATCATTTCCTGTTCCGGCAAAACGAAAAGGTTCAACCAATTGGGGAAAGTTTTATTCTGCATATACACACAGATTCAAGATCCCAAATATATAGACCTTTTACGAGTCATGAACTTCTTGCAGAATTTTGCCAAGACCACAGTGCAGAATTTCAAATGAGTAATTCCTCTCCACACTCACAGATTGGTTGTCAATTTTTGGTCAGATATCAGTTATTTGCATGTTCTGGTGATTAAAAGGAAAAGAAACCGTGTGCAATCATTAAAGCATGACCCACCAAATCAATTGAGACCTTCATAGAGCTCCAGCTCAGTAGAAACAGGTTTTATTTTACCATACGGAAAAGTAAATTATATTGAATGATGGCAAAACAAAGACTTCACACTTTATCTATCTACGGTTTGCAACCAACCAAAACAATGGGACAGTGTAAAACCCATCACATCCCAATCTCGTATTCTCCTTTTCCACTGCAAACATGTGAAACTTGTCCAAAACTCTTGAAAGTGTTAAAAGTTGCAAGTGCAAAGCCTGCTAGATACCCTCCTGAAACTCATGACACTTGCTCCAAACAGGATATCGTGATTTAACAATGTTCACAAAGCATGAACAGATTAGAGCTGCTGTCAGGCTACAAAAGCGCACAAAGGTGCACCAGATTAAATCTGCCATTTGTTTTTCTCTTTCCTCAAGGTACTACCAAATCAAAGCCGCGCTCTTCGCCTCAACTGCTTAAACACTCTTTTCCATGGAGACCTTAAAACTGATTCAAGGAGTAGGTTGTCCATCATGCAGCTTTGTCTTCCTCTTTCGGCCAAGAATGGAAGCCTTCTGCAGCCTCACTCCACCGGCTCGCCATTTCTTGAAAGCAGCCATCGATTCTCTAGCAGATTCAAACACTGGTCCAAATAAAAAAAGGGTTAGCTGTTGTAGACAAATGCCTGATGATGTACAGAGGACATATTTGCATACCTCGACTTTCTTCTTTTGTAAAGCGTGGAACGAATTTGGGCATTGTCATCATGGAAGAACTGTGAGACTTGCTTAGAACCTCTTTGTACCTACTGGTGAATGCATAGCGCAAGAAAAGGCCAATGCTCTGTCACTCACCCTGTAAATGTGACAACACAGGAAAGTAAGCAAAATAAAATCATCAGACCTTTTTTTTGTTATGGGATAGAAGTCTGACTAACAAATTTCCTGGACTATAAGTGGCACTGAGTCCAATGGAAGTGATTCATCGAATGAATAAATAAACTAATTTATTTCAAGTGATACAATCATATAACCAAATACCTAACTATCCAGAAGACCAGAAGTTCACACTAGTATTAAGTTTGAGTCCTTTTCAACAATCCATAACAGTTTTAACATCCATAAAAATTGATGGCAAAACACCAGGAACACAAAGGTTCATGAATGCCAGATTATGATAGCATAATTAAAATAGCTACACTGGGTCATGGGAAAGGGGAACACTTAAAATAGCTAGAAGTTTTGGAATGCCATAATGTTATGTGGCCAATTGGGATGGAGATGAGAGGGCGTGCTACAGTACCCGTGGAGCTACAGTGTCCGCGGGTGTTAGAGGAGTCAAGGGTCTATTGGGCCGTAGCCCATTAGAGTTAATTAGTCGCTTGCTTAGGGGCCAAGTCAGACCTCTCTATATAATGAGAGGAGATGTATCAATCTAATCAAGCAAGAGATTAGAAGGAAATCCCTTCTCTCTTGCCGGCCGTGGGCGAAGCCCCGCGGCCGGCCTCCCCCAGCGCCCTTGCAGCCCTAGCCGCCGCCGCCGTGAACAGTACCCGCGGACACTGTAGCTCCACGGGTACTGTAGCACGCCCTCTCATCTCCATCCCAATTGGCCACATAACATCTGCCCACATAACATCTGGATGAGACAAGTCATTTCAAAGTAACCGCAAGTTACTAGATAAACTTGTGCCATCAAGGCATGTTTATCAGATTATTATGATCAAATCTGCACCATGGTGGTTCAGTGGGAATGTGGGATCAATCATGGAATCAGTACTCAATTAATTTCCAACATATAGAAATAGTACTGACAGGAAACAGTGACTGGTGGTAATGATGATAGATAGCAGTGAGCTATTCTCCATCATATAGAATCGACCTGACTATCTCTGAAAGGAAATGCAGCAAATTGCTAGACAATTGAAATACAGAAATAGATATTCCACTATGAATTAATTGCTTTCCAGGATGAAAGGACCATGCTTTTGAAAAAAAATACAAGTGAAAACATGTTCTTTTGTGGGGAATAGATTGATCAAATCAAACCAAACCAAATCAAATGAAATCAGTGAAACAGTCCAAAGTATTAGGGAAAATAACAAAATGCTAGTATTGTCACCCAGATTGATCCTAAGCACAAAACTACCCTAACCTGTTTATATCAATGTTCATCACATAACAGTTTGATAGGCATAGAGAAACTGAATGTTACCCAGACACCCGTGCCTAATAATTGCACCTGTGTGGGGTTCCGAGTGGTATCTGGCATGTCCAAAAAACTTACTGAATTGGAGACACATACCCAAACTGGACAGTGACACCCACACCTGTTCCTATGCAGCCCTGACCACAATATATTATATTACCCGCATATATTTCTATAATATAAAATGCTGTCTAGTCATAACAAGAATTAACTAAAGGCTATAGAAAAGGAATGCCTCAATAGGGATGACCTATCCCTCATTGGAGGACACAAAAGGAAGCTTGCTACCAGACTTGATTAACAGTCAGATGATAGTGAGCCTAAACTACCAAACTGCCAACTTTTACAGTAGCTTAACCTGTTTATATCAATGCTTATCACCTAACAGTTGGCATAGAGACTGAATGTTTTGACTAGACAAGTCAAATGTGTAGCAAATAATCATTTGTATTTCAAACCTTAGAAGCATTATGCATTAGGGCATGTTTGGCTTGTACCTTAAGTTAGCCCACCAATTGTTGGTTAACCTTCCATAAAGTATACCATAGTCCATATGAACACATTGTCCTACCCAAAAAGCAAACAGGCAATCAAAACCTTACATCAGAATGGCATGACATACAGTTGCAATAAGCACAGGATGGTGGCAACCTTGTCAGCCACAGTGGAATCGATGCAGACACATATTGGTCAACAAAGAGATAAGTAGATTGGTGCATTTCATAAGATAAGGGATTAAAATTTCTTTTTGGTTAGACATCCCAATCTATAAAGGCTGTCCCAGTGGGCTAGGTTTGCACTTTGCAGCACCACAGAAATAAACTCCTCAAAGTTTCAGTTAGGTCAAAGCCTCCGGATTCTTGTCATGTCTGGGTACTAGTATCACCAGTGCCAGAAGGGCAATCCATCGCCCTGCACCTTTCACTAATTGATTTGATCCAAGCCTCAAAGCCACTTTGTTTGCTGATCCCCTCTCCAATTCCCTCCATGCCATATCAGTTTTATCTTTTCCTTAATAAAGGGGATTTCAGGGGCATTTGGGGTTGGGAAAGAAAAAAACAGAAGCAGCACAC